TTTCTTAATTTCATTATAGAAAACATTAAAAAGAGAAGTTGTTAAATGTCAAGCATTAATTCTATGGACAGATTGTGATCGTGAAGGAGAAAATATTGGATTTGAAATAATAAATGTATGTCGATCAGTAAAATCGAATCTTAAAATATATCGAGCACGTTTTTCTGAAATAACTTATGATAGTGCAGTACGTGCTCTATCAAATTTAACTCAAGCTGATGAACGTGTTAGTGCTGCTGTTGATGTTCGTCAAGAACTTGATTTACATATAGGTGCAGCATTTACACGTTTTCAAACATTACGTTTACAACGTTTATTTCGCTTTGATTCAAAACAAGTAATTAGTTATGGTTCATGTCAATTTCCAACATTAGGTTTTATTGTTGAACGTTATCTTCAACGAGAAAATTTTATACCTGAACCATTTTGGAAAATAATTGTTGAACATTAAACTGAAAATAGTCAATTTTGTGAATTTTCATGGGAACGTAATCGATTATTTGAATATCAACCATGTTTAATGATATATGATATGATTATGGATGAACCATTAGCAAAAGTTATGGATATTAAATCAAAAAGAAAATCTAAATGGAGACCAACTGCACTTGATACTGTTGTATGTAGAAAATTTTCATAAAGAAAAATATTTATTTTTTTATTAGGAAATGGAAAAACTTGCAAGTAGAAAATTACGTATGAGTGATAAAAAAAAAACAATGGATATTGCAGAAAAATTATATATGAAAGGTTTTATTAGTTATCCACGTACAGAAACAAATATATTTCCATCAGAAATTAATCTTTATCCACTTATACAAAATCAAGTTAATGATCAACGTTGGGGAGCATTTGCACAACGTGTACTTAATGATGGACCTCAACCACGTAATGGAAAAAATACTGATAAAGCCCATCCTCCTATTCATCCAACACGTTATCCTGATGGACAATTAACAGTAAGATTTAGTTTTTTTAATACTAGGAAATTATCAATCGTTAATACATTCGAGACGTTGTAATCTACCGATCGGTCATGTTATAAATGTTCTATAATGAATAATATTTTTTTTTAGGATGAAGAAAATAAATTATATGAATTAATTGTTCGACATTTTCTTGCTTGTGTTTCAAAAGATGCTCAAGGTGATGAAACAATAATTAAAATAAATATTTCCAATGAAATTGTATGTTCACATTTATTCATTGTTCTTCGTTAATGTCTTATATTTAATATTTAGTTTAATGCATCTGGTTTAAGTATTCGTGAAAGAAATTATCTTGATGTTTATATCTATGATAAATGGTCAGAAAAAGTACGCAAAAAAATATTTTGTGAAAGAATTTATTGAAATAATCATAATAATAGGAATTACCACATTATGAATTGAATCAAACATTTTATTCAACAAAAATTGAAATGGTACAAGATGAAACGTCCCCACCACAATTATTAACTGAAGCTGATTTAATATCTCTAATGGAAAAACATGGCATTGGTAAATGAATTTAATTAAAAAATTATTATTTTTATATTCTAATAAATAAATAATAGGTACGGATGCAACACATGCTGAAAATATTGCAAAAATTCAAGAACGACTTTATACAAAATTAAATAACGATCGAAGATTTGAACCAGAAAAATTAGGTCTTGGATTATGTGAAGGTTATGATAAAATGGGTCATGCTTTATCTAAACCACATCCTCGTGCGGAACTTGAAAATCAACTTAAAGCGTATGTTATTAAATCTAAAACGAAAATACATTAAATATTGTCTTGTTTTTAGTGTTTGTGAAGGACGAGCGAATCCAGCCGGTACCCAAAATTCATTGTCTATGGATTGATAAACTATTCTTTCAATCTAATATTTTAATAGATGTACTTCGAGAACAAATTGATAAATATCGACAAGTGTTTATTGTTACTGCGGCACAAATTCAAAAACTTGATGATGCAATGACGAAATATTTTGGTCCTCCAGGACAAAATCCACCACCACCACCACCGCCACCTCCTGCACCATCATCAGGACCTTTTGGTGATCGTACTAATAGAAACCAAGTAGCATTACCCGCACCTTCAAGAAATAATAGGTAAAATTTTAGAATTATTTTATTTGTTTTTATCTTAGCGATTATTAATAATAACAACAATCCACCAGCCAGGTTATTCTTATCTCTTCTTTTTTATTACTATTTTCTATTGATTTCAATTTTTCTTTAGACCTCAACAACAAAACCGTCCTTCTGGGTAAATTAGTTATTTTAATTTAAATATTAAATCTATTGTTTATTTTAGACCTTTACAACAAGAACAAATTCGTCCAACAAATAATAATAGAGTACCAAAATGTAATTGTAATGTTGATGCTAAAGAATTAACAGTAAGAAAAGGTAATTTATTTATTAAGAAATTTATTTTATTTTACAACACATTTTCTCTTCAGAGGGTCCAAATAAGGGTCGATCTTTTTTTCGATGCGGAAATAATGATCAATGTAATTTTTTTGCTTGGAAAGATGAGTATGTGTTTGCCTTCGTTTTTTTTTCGAAATTAAAGTCTAATTTTAGTGCAATATCGAGCTTTGGAGGGGATATCGCTCCACGACAATATGGTGATAATCCTTCCAATGTTGAAAATAAAAGACAAAAGTCAGATAATGATGAAGATAGTAAACAACGAAAATGTGGTCTCTGTAAACAAACAGGTAAGAATTTATTCTAGAATTTAATTTAAATTAAATAAGAATATTTTATTAAGGTCATATACGTCGAAATTGTCCATCGTTAAACTTTTGATGGCTTATTTATATAT